GTTAGTACCTGCACGGATTACCTCCTCTGAGCCGGGTGAGGTGGGACAGGGGCTGGGAGCAGCGGTAGGGATGGTGACCCAAAAGCCCTTTCCTGTGGACTGGGAGCAGCTGGAGGGATGGTGGCCGGGAAGCCTCTTCTTCTGGACCTGGAGCAGTGGGATGGTGGCTTAGAACCCCCTCCCTCTGGTCTGGGAGCGGTGGGAGGGATGGTGGCCCGGAAGGCCCTTCTTCTGGGCCAGCAGCAGTGGGACAGAAGGTGGCCCAAAATCCCTTTCCTCTGGTCTGGGAGCAGCGGGAGGGATGGTGACCAGGAAGCCCCTTTCTCTGGACCAGGCGCAATGGGACGGCGGCTCAGAAGCCCCTATCTCTGGGCCAGGAGTAGTACCTTGGTCTGGTGGTCTGGTGTCCTCTGCGTCTTTGTAGTGTGAAACCAGGTGGCTGCCTGTCTGCAGTGGGGTTATTCGGCGTGTTCTACGGGACTGGGGACCTTGGTAGGGTGTGGGCAGCCCTGCCTGTCTGCAGCAGGGTGATTTGGCATCTTCTGCGAGACTCAGCACCTCTGTAGGGCGTGGGCAGACCTGCCTGTCTGCAGCGGGGTGATTCGGTGTCTTCCTAATTTTCTTACATTTTAAAATAAAATGTCTAGCCTGGTGTAATGGTGCACACGTGTAATCCCTAGCACTGTGAGGTAAAAGGGTCACTATCAGGTAAAAGGCCGAAAACCAAGACCAGACCAGGCCACAACAAGCATTTGTTCTATGGCCAATCTGTGCAGCTGTCTCTGAATAAAAGGGAGACAAAAACAATATGGCTAGGACAGGAAGTGCCTTTTATAGGAGCGGGGGTGGGGCTTGTAGAAGGTGAGGTGGGGTTGAGTGAGGTAGTGGCTAGGGACTGGAGGAGCCTGTGACTTCACTAGTTTCTACGAGGAGAGCAAGTATTAGGTTACTCTTTTGGTGGGAGTAGGGGCATGTTGGAAAGAAGCTAACTATTATATATAGCAGCCACCCTAAATTGGAGGGAAATCTATCAGTCACAATTTCAAGTTCAGCCTGGGGAACTTAGCACCTCAGCAAGTCCCTGTCTCAAAATAAAGGACTGAAGATGTAGCTTTGTGCAAACGCCCTGGGTCTAATCTTAGGTACACAAACAACCCCACAAAATAAAGTGTCTAAGTGGAATATACTTATTTATAGATGTACTTTGTAGGTGACTATGCCCAGTCTTTATCATTAGCGGGACACTGCCTGGACTACATAGTGTTTAGCTGCATCTATCGTAATATGCTTCAGAACACATAAGCATAAGCCTGAAAAAAAAATCTATGATTAAAAACAGTTTTCCAGAGGACACCAGTGTGGTAAGATATTCTCTTAAGTTTTGCATTTTATTTTTATTTTTGTTTTTTTTTTGTTTGTTTTTTTTGGTACTGGGGATCAAACTTGGGCCCTTGCACTTGCTTAGCAGGCAGTGAAACCATTGAGCTAAATCCCAGACCCAAGTTTTGCATTTTAGAAGGCATGTACACTTAGGGAATATAAATGTATCCAGCACACAAAGAAGTCAGTGATAATTACCATACATAATTAGCTAATAGAAGTCTTTACATATTAATTTAGTTTTTACTCTTAAGGTGAAATTTAGAGTTCTTTAACCAGTTTAGATAGTGTAATAGCACTGACAAGAGTCAAAGGATATCTTTAGACCTACACAAATATTCATTACCCAGTATACATGTGCATCTCATTTATACAATAAGAAAATGCTTGTATAGTCAAAGCCAAGAGATGTTGATCAAGTTTTAGATGCCAGGATTTAACGGTACCAAATACAAAGAATAAAGATGCCAAATTTTTTGATTATTTTATATATTTATGGTTTAGGTGCTATGAGTGTTGTATGAAAGAGAGGACCTATTGATTACTTTGCATACATTAAACTAGTGTAATCTTAACCCTATAAACTTCTTAACATTAGACAAAACACAGGCTCACAGTGTACTTCATCCTCAGATGTATACACATCTCTAGTGCCAGATAAATATAGCATGTACTATGACCTAAGATAATAGTTATAAGCTGATTATTGAAAACATTTTACAATCTTAGATCTTAAAACTCAGTTTATTAAGAAATCAAAAGCAGGGGCCTGGGATTTAGCACAGTGGTTTTGCCGCCACCTGCTGCATAAGCGCAAGGACCTGAGTTTGATCCCCGGCACCAAAAAAACCAAAAAAAACCCCCAAGAAATCAAAAGCAGAAAATTTAGAAATTATCTTAACAAAACACAAAACCATTGCTTTTTGGTGTACTTTTTGTAAGTTCAGTCCACAGCATTTTAACGTTTTAAGAAAGCCTTATTTCTTTAGACATATAAAAGTGTTTAAATTTTAATTGTATTAAACTTCATTAATATAACAATAGCTTTCTAGGGCTGGGGATTTAGCTCAGTGGTTCCACTGCCTGCCTCCCAAGATGAGGACCTGGGTTCGAGCCCCAGTACCAAAAAAAACCCAAAACAAAACAAAACAAAAAACAATAGCTTTCTAATAACATTTTTTGCATTGGGGTACAATAAGACTGAAGAAACCCATAGGAGATATCCATCAGTGGAGAAAACTAAAACAAAGTGGTTCAGGCAGCTGTTCTGTCAGCCACAGAGGGGAGTTTGTTTTTGTAGTTCCTCAGGCCCAGGGGCATCCCACTTAGGGGAACATTTTAAAATATTATTTCAATATAGAATTGTAAATTAGAATTTTAACTTTTACTAAACTTGAGAAATAGTCTTAAAATTTTATATATATAATTAATGAAAACACATTTAATAGTCCAAAATATATTATCTTGTTTTAAACTTAAAGAAGCCAAAAATACTTGAATTTATATTTAGCAACTAATGATTCAGATGTTGTTGTGAATGTTTATAAGCATGAATCCCCTTTATATTTACTTATTTATTTATCTTAACAATTACTTTAGATTATTCATGAGAACAAAAGCACAGCATAGTTAACATTT